AGAAGCCAGCCCTGAAATAAACAAGAATTTCGAACTCAATTAATATCCGAGCTTGTGATTTAATTCTGAGATCTGATCTAAACAGCCAAGGGGAAAGGGCAAGATTTCAGGGATGTAAATAACCCTGGAAGACCTATCCTTTTTGGCATCTGCAAGAAAAAAGTGTTCTTTTTATTTCCTGAGGATTTCAGTTTTACCAAAGTTAGGATTCCAGGTAAGAGCACTATTCTTCCACCCAATTAAAAAAAAAAAAAAATGTGTTCCATCCTCTATAAAGTGAAGGTTTAGTATAGTTGTGCTACATCCTTCAGAGTCTTAATGTCTGGGAGATGTCAGCATAATGGGGTATGTTTCAAGTACTTAGAACAATTCTAGCACATAGTGAGCGCCACAAATGTGAGATATTATTACTTCTAAAGATCCAAGCTCCCCATTTCCTCTCAGATACAACCTTTCCCACTCCACCATTATTTGAACAACAAATGACATAAAAATCTGTCTTCCATTCTAAACACACAAAATTCCAGAGAGTGGGTAGACAGTTCAAGATGACAGCCTTCTCAAAACACAGAGCATACGCTTACTGGATTACTCTTTCTAATAAGCAATCACCTATAAAACTGTCTCATAAAGGTAAGAATATTCAAAACATCCAAATAAAGAAAAAACGTATTAGCAGTAGAAAAGAGTGGATTACTTAACAGGACCTTGAAGAGAAAAAAACACAGAGACAAACATGACCCTAGTAACTAATGCCAAAGTTTGGAGGTGAAGCTAGTACCACCTAACACAGAATTTACACAAAGCACAAAGGAGCAATTACTGTTCCAGCTGCCCCAGGAACCTACAGAATACTACGTCATTTGCCTCTGGGATCACCTCCCTGCCAACACCCACTACCACTGAGACCCCATCTCAATAACTACCCTTCCATGAAAGAGACCAAGTAAAAGGAACGAGAATTCAAAAGCTAAAGATTCAGTTCTATTCCACCTACACATAAACATATGTATATTGTATGTGTATATATATATATGCATATAATATATACAAATACACACACACATGGCACAGTGGTTAAGAGCTATGGCTGCTAACCAAAAAGCTGGCAATTTGAATCTACCAGCCGCTCCTTGGAAACCCTATGGGGCAGTTCTACTCTGTCCCATAGGGTTGCAATGAGTCAGAATGGACTCAATGGCAACGGGTTTAGTTTTTTTTTGTTTTATACACACACACACACACACACACACACACACACACACACACACAATGTGTGTGTATGCTGAAAGGACAGAGATGTTTCTAATAATAAAAATTAATCTAAATCAGTTAAACATGGTCCCCACAGCTAAAATTCACCTTGAACTGGCAATATCAAGTTCGCCAAGTTTACAGGATTGCCTTTCTAAAAAGCCATCTTAAAGACATCCAAGTTAAAGATACATTTGAGACGGAACATACTTTTTGTTGTTGTTAGCTGTCGTCGAGTCAATTCTGACTCCTGGTGACCCCACGTATACAGAATAGAACTGCTCCATAGGGTTGTCAAGGCTGTGACCTTTCAGAAGCAGACTGCCAGACCTGTCTTCCGAGGTGCCTCTGGGTGGATTCCAACTGCCAACCTTTCAGCTAGTAGTCGAGTGCTTAACCATCTGTCTTAGTCATCTAGTGCTGCTATAACCTAAATACCACAAGTGGATGGTTTTAAGGAAGAGAAGTTTATTTCCTCACAGTCAAAGCAGGCTAAAAGTCCAAATTCAGGGCGTCAGCTCCAGGGGAAGGCTTTCTCTCTCTGTCGGCCTTCTTCTCTTCAGTATTCCTCCAGACTACGAGCTTCTCTGCGCAGGGACCCCGGTCCAAAGGACGCGCTCTGCTCCCGGCACTGCTTTCTTGATGGTAAGAGGTCCCGCTGTCTCACTGCTCACTTCTGTCTTTTATATCTCAAGAGATTGCCTCAGGACATAATCCAGTCTTGTAGATCGGGCCCTGCCTTACTAACACAACTGCCACCCATCCTCCCTCATTAACATCATAGAGGCAGGTTTACAACATAAAGGAAAATCACACAGTACCAGGAATCATGGCCTAGCCAAACTGATACACACATTTTTGGGGGGACATAATACAAACCATGACATTCCAGCCTTTGGCCCCCAAAAAATCACATCCTTGCAACATGGAAAACATATTCACCCCATCATATCATAGCAAAAGTCTTAACTCCAAGTACAAAATCCAAAAATTCCTCTTCATCTGTGAAATCTAGAATACAACTTATCTGCTTCCAAAGGTACAATGGCAGAACAGGCACAAGCTAGACATTTCCATTACAAATAGGAGAAATTGCACGGAAAGAAGTGATAACAGGCACCAAGCAAGTCAGCAGAACACATTACATTAGCCCTCAAG